AATATATACAAACACACACACACACACACACACACACACACACACACACACACACACACACACACACACACACACACACACACACACAGTTGCCTGCAGAGGACACTCACAGCCTTTAGTTGTATACATGTATTACTCCCATGTGTGTGAACACTGCCCTCTGTCTGCGGCTTAGAAAAGTACGTTATTCTTATTTTATGAATCACTTATTTTAGATGTTTTACTTTATTCTATTTTGTAATTAAATATGTTTTTATTAATAACTGTATTCATTATTTTAAAGGTGTATCATTGTATCCATTTATTTTATGTAATTGAATTGATATTTAATTGTATTATATCTAAGTTGTATAGTTAGTAGCATTCTTTTTTTACAGTTTTTTTGTAAACATTTAATTCTATTAAAGTTGTGTGACTTTATTGTATTTTTTTAAAATTATATTTATGTCGTTCTTATTGTTAATGAATGTGTTGTGGTTCAGGGTTCGTGGTGCTGGAGGACAACGGGCCTCTGTCCTCAGCTCTGCAGGACAAGAGGCTCCCTGAGACTCTGTTCAGGACCGTCTCTGCAGAGCACCACGGTACTGAAGACCCTTCATTACACTTAGGATATGAATCCACACAAATACAAACACATCTGTGGATACAAATAAATATAAATAGCTCTATCTAATGAAACGTATCTAAGAACATGTTTAGTTATAATCAGGACTGGAGTTAGTTTTAGAGATTAAACTCAGTGACAGCGGAAACAAATATTAAAGAATTGTGCTTTTAAAAACATTGAAATGCATCAAAATCAATGAGCTTGTGTTCTTATTTACAAAGAGGCAACACTCAAAAAGAAACTACATATTTGATTTCTATAATCAGAGGAAAAACTTTGTGAACGCAGAATTGATTGCTGTGTCAACAATCTGCCAAAGAGTTATATAATATTACAAACATTTCAGATTTTTTAAATGTTCTTCAAATGTTTCTCGTTTGGTCCGGAGTCGTCTCATGAGCATCTGTTTCCCCCTCAGACCTGCACCTGAAGCTCTCTCTTCCTCAGGGCTACGAGGCCAACCTGCACCCCCTCCTCCTCATGGTGTAAGTGCTTCCTGTCATGTGACCTCTGACCCCCCAACCTGTCCCCGGATCACCCCGTTTGGCGGCAGTGGTTCAGTCTGTAGGGACTTGGTCTTGGAACCGAAGGGTCGCCGGTTCACGTCCCGATCGGACCAGTTGAATAGATATGGAGCGAGCTGCTCTGTGTGTGTGTGTGTGTGTGTGTGTGTAAAATCCCAACAGAGTGGAGAAAGACATTTCCCTGTGAGGGATTAATAATGTCTTCCTCTTCTTCTTCCTCCTCTTCTTCTTCCTCTTCTTCCTCTTCCTCCTCTTCTTCTTCCTCTTCCTCCTCTTCTTATTCTTCCTCTTCCTCCTCTTCTTCCTCTTCTCTCCTCCTCCTCTTCCTCTTCTTCTTCCTCCTCTTCTTCCTCCTCTTCTTCTTCCTCCTCTTCTTCTTCCTCCTCTTCCTCCTCTTCCTCCTCTTCTTCTTCCTCTTCTTCCTCTTCTTCTTCCTCCTGTTTTTCAGGGATGGTGAGCCGGGTCAGGTGGTGACGGAGGAGTTCTCTCTGGAGTGGCCCCAGGTCCTCTCGGGGTCTCACGGTGTGGCCCTCGCCTGGGTGGGGGTCCGCAGTGGGGGGGGCCGCGGACAGAAGAGCCCCAACATGGACCCTCGAAAGCTGGGGTCCATCAGAGTGAAGGATTACCTCTCAGTGGTCGAGTCAGTGACTCATTATACACATTCACTAACTCTCTCCCAGAAGTCATCTGCTCTGCGTCTCTGGAGAAGCTTTGAGAAAACTAATGAGACATCGGCTTCTCCTTGAGATGTGTGTGTGTGTGTGTGTGTGTGTGTGTGTGTGTGTGTGTGTGTGTGTGTGTGTGTGTGTGTGTGTGTGTGTGTGTGTGTGTGTGTGTGTGTGTGTGTGTGTGTGTGTGTGTGTGTGTGTGTGTGTGTGTGTGTGTGTGTGTGTGTGTGTGTGTGTGTGTGTGTGTGTGTGTGTGTGTGTGTGTGTGTGTGTGTGTGTGTGTGTTGTGTGTGATGTGTGATGTGTGTGTGTGTGTGTGTGTGTGTGTGTGTGTGTGTGTGTGTTGTGTGTGTGTGTGTGTGTGTGTGTGTGTGTGTGTGTGTGGTGTGTGTGTG